CCCAGCCCGGCCATCCTAGACGGGAGGGACAAGGCACAGACTCGCGCAGCACCTGGGGCAAGGAGAGCCAAGGACCTGCCCGCGCCGGGCCGCCGAGAGCACAGCCCGCTGCCGGGGCTGGGAACCGACCTGTGCACCAGACAGATATTTATGGAATAAATCGTAATTTGTGTAAATAAGCTCTAAGGATCCCAGAATATGCAAATCCGTATTAATTTATTCAGAGTTGTACATTGGTGTGTACATAATATTTAGAGTTTTAACTCCTGACATTTAATTTTGTTTTGTTTTGGTTTTATTTTATTTTTTTTGTTGTTTTCTTTCTCATTTTACATGGCCGCGTCTCTCGGCCCGGGACCCCGACCTGCCCGGCCCCCGTTAGCTCTGTGATGGAAGGAGATCTTGGTTTCTGTAACCGTGTTTCCCCATGTTGCTTCTCCCGCCTGTGCTTCGGGCTGCCGTCGGGACGGGCTGGGCCGTCCTTGCCATCGGACAGCAGGTCTTTAGGGGACTTTTTTTTTCCTCCCGAGGGAAACCAAAGGCGATGCCCCGCGTCTCCCCGTCTCCCCGCAGCGCGGGCTCTAGGGAATGCAGGAATTAAACCTCAGGTTTTTTTATTTTTCACTCCGGAACAAATAATAATAATAATAATAATATTAATAAGAAGAAATTTAAATCTCGCACGGGCTCTTCTCTATATTTGTTTGGGAAAAAAAAAAAAAAGGGAAAAATAACTTCCTCCCCTCCCCTTTCCAAACCAGACCCCCAAACCAAAGCAGTGCCCCGAGCGGAGGCGCTGGGGCGCGGGTCTCGCTGTGCGGGTTTGATGACATGCTCTCACCTCTGTCAATAAAAAATACTCAAAGGCGCCTGGCCAGGCTCGTGTTTTCACCCGCCGGGGTTCACGTCGGGGGGCCTCCGATGTCACGGTGCCCCGAGCCCCTCTCCCGGGGCAGGGGGGACGGTCCTCGCCTTCCCGGGCAGCAAGGCTTTGCAAGCCCTGGCTTTGGTACCTGGGGTGCGGGTCGCGCCCCTGAGAGCTGCGGGACCCTCCCCGGCCCGGCGCCCCGACAGCGCCTAGGGAAGCCCACAGAAAGGCTGGATTCAATCAGGCCCCTCGTCCCTTTCCCCCCTGTAGCTGTTGGTTATTATTCCCAGGCGGCTCCCGCGGCTCCTGGCAGAGATGAAGCTGCTCCGCATTACCGAGAGCGGCTGGATTGGGAGCGGAGGTGCCCGCGGGCAAACGGGGCGCACCTACAAGTCGATGGCCCAGCCTTTGAAATGGGTCTTGGGCTCTTTGCCCCGCAGTCCTGTCCGGCAGCTTTGGGGTCCCCCTCTAATCCAAGCGGCTTCCCCGAGTGGGGCGCCCCTATCCCTACGGCACCCCGACGGGGTTGAGCCGCGCACCCCTGTCCACCGGGCCGGGCTGCGGGGGCAGGGAGAGGGAGAGGGAGAGCGAGAGCAAGCCAGGTGGGCAAGCAGCAGCAGCCGTGCAGACCCGACCCCCACCCCGCCCCACGACGGGCTTGCATTGCCCCGTGTCCCTGATTTCCAGGGGGCCGGGCCCCGTCCCTCGCTCTCAAAAGCAGGCACGGCTCAGCGCCGGTCCCCGCGAGATGCTCGTGTCCGAGGGAGCCTCGGGGAGAGGGGGCCCCCTGCTGCCAAAGCCGCCGGAGAGCTGCGCTGCAGCCCGGCTGCTGTCTCGCTCGCTGCTGGCCCCGTCCGGAGCCTTGTTGGTGTGGGCAAAGGACCGCCAGCTCTTGACGTGTGTCCCAAAGCGCCCCCAGCCCCTTGCTACCGTGATGCCCCGGAGGGGTTTTAAGGACGGGCTCAGGCAGTCTTGTGTCACCGGGTCTGAGCAGGCTCTTTTCCCGAGAGCCCTCTCCCTAGCAGCCTCCAGCCCCTGAGGTCTAGGGGGCTCCGGGCCAGAGGCCGGGCCCCTCGCTCCCCGGCCCGACGGCAAGGAGAGTGCAATGGCAGGCGCTTCTGTGCTTGAAACGCGCCTCCGGCAACCTGAACCTGCGCGCCGCACGTCCACGTCCCACCTAAACAGTATTTCCGCCTCTGACGGCGATTTGCAAACAACCGGCGTGACACCGAGCAGCGGAGACGTCCGGGCTGGACTTGGAGAGGGGCCAAGTCCCTGGTCCCAGCAGCGGCGGGGCGCGGGGATGCTCTTCTCCGCGGCTAAAATGATGCGCTTCACTGTGAGCGCACGTTTGGCGCCGTGCGCCGCTGCCCCGCCACCCCCGGGAGTGGGCACTGAAACCCGCTCAGGGGTCTCGGTGCCACGGCTTATTTTGAAATGCCGCTTTCTGCCTCCGCCTCCAGCAGCGCCGGCTCCCGGCAGGTGCTCCGTGCTGCTCCGGATCGGGGGTGCTGGAGGCTCATCTAAGCTCAGCTGCGTGTCTCAACCCCGGAGCAGGATCTGACCCCCGGGCCGGGATTGCAGGTGCCCCTCGCGCTGCAATCAAGCGCAGCCGGGAAGATGGAGCAAGCCGGCTTCCCCGCGGGGGCAGGGCCCGGCTGCCACGGGTCAACCCCATGCCCTGGTTACCGCTGACTTCCCTATTCCCGGCTCTCAGTCCTGGGCTGGCTGGTGGCTGCTGGAAATCAAGAGCAGCACTGACCGCTTGGGCTCCCCGGCCGTGTCAGGGCCCCGACGGGGCGGGCTGGAAGCGATCCAGTGCCACTGGCAGTTTTCGTGTGCACATGCTGATGAATTCATGGTTTAACCTGAGCTCCCCACATTCTCACCTCTTGATTCAGTGGCACTGAATGGTTCGTGGCAATGGTTCCAAGTTGCAGCAAGGGAAGCTGAGGTTGGATATTAGGAAAAACTTTTGTCACTGGGACTGTAGTGAAGAGGTGCCCAGAGAGGAAGCATGGCAGCAGCCATGGTCTGCTCTTGCAGCAGGGGAGGTGGAGGTTAGATAGTAGAAAAAGCTCCCTCAGGAGGAGGGTTGTGGAGCACTGCTGCAACAGGCTGCCCAGAGAGGTGGGGGATCTCCATCCTTGGAGATTTTTCAAGACCCAGGTAGGCAAAGCCCTGGCTGGGATGATGTAGTTGGGGCTGGTCCTGCTTGGAGCAGGGGTTGGACTAGATGTGACCTCCCGACGTCCCTCTCAACCCTCATTGTCTATGATTTACTTTCCATGAACATTCATTTCTGTGGCAAAGGAGAAATGCCTGAAGGGAGTCCCAAGACTTGTCAGAGGGTGAGTGTTTAGCACCACCAGAAAACCCAGCTCTTTTCAAGGACCGGGGATCTAATGTTACCAGTGACTTTCCTGCTCCCTGGACTGAGTGTGTGCAGAGCTGTACAAACACACACCCTGCCCCTAGGATCTTGCAGGCTCACAGGTTTGTCTCATTTAGGAGAGTATGAGACCAAAGCACAGCAAGGAGTGGGGAATAAGTCCCTCTGTGCGTGTTTCTATTCTGGCACAGGCCTGCCCTGCTCCTGCTGTCCTCAATCCACTTGCAAAGCCAATGCTGCAGTTCTGACTCCATGTGTGGACAAGCTAGTGGGTCTAAGATCATCCTCGTGGCAGGCCCGTGCAGCCATGCGGCACCCAACCATGAAAAAATAGCTTGCAAAATTGGACCTAAGGCCCCAGTCCTTGCAAATGCTTATGTGCACCTCCCTGCAAATCCCACCAACTAGACAGGACTATTCATCCAGTGAGGAAAATGGCATGGACGTGAGCATGCCCGGGGAAAGGGCCTGTATTCTGGCAAGAGCAAGGGGGGGCGGCGCACTGAGCTGCAGGGAAGGCCAGTGCTCTGTGATCACTTGGGAGGTGTGTAAATGGAGACTTGGCCACAGCAGTAAGTGCACTTTTACATTATGCCAGTGATGTGTGCTGTTATAACAAAAGTCACAGGCTTTCACTGTGAATGGAGCACCCCGTGGCCCACCAACAGCTCTGTATTTGCTCTAGACAGGGCCCTAATCCATCGTTTTGCTAGAGGCCACCTCTGTACAGTGGGGTAGACTCAAAAGCCTTGTAACATTGCCACTGAACGGCCTCCTATTGTGTGTGGAGAATGCAGCGAGGAGGCTTTCCTGACCCCGATCCCTTTTCCCGGTAGGTTTGCAGCCCTCCAGGCTGAAAGGGGGCACAGACCTGCCTGCGACCTCGGAGGAACTGAAAGGAGGAGTTTAACACTGGTTTGGGTTTTATTGCAAGCGCAGGGTAGGGGCTGCAAAAGCGTGCATGTGCAAAAACCGCGTGTGCATGTAAAGTATCCAGGTTATAGCCCTGTTGGTCTAGAGGAAAAAGCTATCAGGACTGGTGGTAGAGGTGATATCTGTTTTTAGACCAACTAGATTTGGGGGAGGGGGGGGGAATCTTTAATTGCAAGCTTACTTGTAACACACACACACACACACACACACACACTGTTATTTCCAATGAGTAACATGGGTATAATTTAGGGGCAATATTGAGTGCGTGTTTAAACAAACGCGCTGGACCCAGGGCAGCAAAGCAACCGGCTCCAATGCTGATGGGAGTAAAAGAGGCAGCCAGTCATGCCGGGCTGAGGAGTAACTCGGGAAAATGAGGGTTGGAAGGAGCAGCAGGAGGTCACATCTAGTCCCAAGCAGCTACATCATCCCTTAAAAGCCTCCGGGCAGGGAGATCCCCCGCTCTCTGGGCAGCCTGCTCCTTGGAGGAGCTTCTCCCCGCCGCGCCC